AGTAGTTTTAGGAGAAAAAAAAAAGCAAGCACAACTGATCAATACATTTTTTAAAAGTCTAAAAATATGTCTCTGGTTCAAAGGGTATATGTATTTTATTCACATTACTTACAAATTCCAAATTACTTTCAAAAATGGTTATAGCACAGATCCACCAAAAATGCATTAGTGGCCTATCTTTCCACCACCCCTCTATCATTGATTATTGTCATTTTTGTTATTTTTGCCAATTTGGATGGTTTGGGATAAAACCTCAGTGTTGCTTTGATTTGATTTTAATTTCTCTTATTATTAGTGATTTGGAATATTTTTTCATGAGGTTATTAATACTTTGCAGTTCTTATTTTCAGAATTATTTGTTAATGTCCTTTGATCATTTTTCTATTGAGGAATGATCATTAGTCTTACATATTTATTAATCATTTACATATCTTGAATACCAAATGCTTATTAGAGAATTTAGACACAAAGTTTTTTTTTTCATTTGCCTACATCTCTTTTTATCCTAAATGTATTAATTTTGTCTGTGCAAAAGCTTTTTAGTTTCAAATAATTAAAGTTGTCTCTTTTGTCATTTGTAATTGTATTAACCACTTGTAATTGATTAAGAATACATATTGTATTTATAACTGTGAGAAGGACATGATCTGCTTGTCTTCTATTTTTTTAATAGTATGATCTTTTACTTTAAAGTTATGTATCCATTGATAATATATTGTGAAATTTGGTATAAGGTGTTGGTCTAAGCCTAATTTTTGCCAGACTAATTTCCAGTTTGCTCAACAGTGTTTTGTTTTGTTTTTTCAATAAAATAGGCAATTTTTCTCTAGGTAATTTTCATTTTCTACTTATCAAACATTAGAAAATTGAATTTTATCGTCTCTGGATTTCCCTGGTCATCAGTTCCATTGATCTATCTCTATATTCTTTAACATATCAGATAGTTTTGATAATTGCTGCTTTTTAATATAGTTTAAGGTTTGGAAATGCTATTCTTCCATAGTCTCTACTTCTTTTCATTATTTCACTTGATATTCTAGGTCTTTTGTTTTTTCCAAATGAATTTTATTTTTAACAGGTTTTATAAAGTATCTTCCTTAATTTGATTAGCATAGCATTAAAAGTATAAATTAATTTTAGTAGAAATCTCATTTTTATTATATTGGCATGGCCCAGCCATGAGCACTGAATATTCCCTCAGCTATTTAATTTTTTTTTAAATTTCTTTAAGAAGAACTCTGTAATTCCATCTATACAAGTCTTTTATGTGCCTTGTAAGATTTAATCCCAAGATATTTTATGCATTTTACAGTTATTAGGAATGGGATTTCCCTTTTATTATTATTTCTTGTGTTCATTACTGTTATAAAGAAATGTTGTTATTTGTGAGGATGTATTTGCATGAAACTTTGCTAAAATTATTGTATCAATATAATCCCTAGGATTTTTCAAGTAAATCATCATATCAACAAACAGGGGTAATTTCATCTCCCCTTTACTTTTCTTTATTCTTCATTTCTTACTCTTGTTCTATTGCTATTACTAGCATTTCCAGAATTATATCAAATAACACTGAGGAGAGTGAACATCCCTGGTTCACTCCCCTATTTTTAGGCTTTTATGAGCTATTACTAGAAAATAATATATTGACTAAGGAGTAAAAAAAAGGGGGGTATGTGCTAAAAAGTCTAAAGTTTTTAAAAACAACTTATCATTTTCATAATTATTGGCCAAGCTCCTCAGAACACTTTTACTTATAATTGCTTCTGTTGAATATTGTGAAGCCTTTAACTCAGTATCTATTACTTGTCATGATGTAGATATATAGATAGATAGATATAGCTATATAGTAAAAATAAACATATATACACACATACATACACATATCACAATTTTGTGGAAACACTAGAATATAGTACATCTACATGGAAATCTTATCTCTGTTTAAAACATGCAGCCAATATAATAATTTTTAAAACAGTTCATATAATACATGGCATTTTATCTTTCCTTAACTAACTCCAATACCATTCCCTTTAAATAGAGCCAAGTATGGCATCCAAATTGGGGAGGAAATTGAATTTTAAAAAAAGTCTTATTAGTCACTTGATGTTGAGCTATATGCCTCCTGCAAAAATCAAATCAAACATCTTCTTCATCCTATAGAATATTTTTTTCAATGATTCCAAATTTGGACTCAAGAAATGTAAAAGTCTTAATGTAAACCAAAGAAAATAGAAATTGAAGAATTTGAGCTTGAATATAGGGGCCATATTGAATGACTAAATAAATGCCATAGCTACATATACCTTCATACCTTGCTGCCCCTCAGGCAAGATAGAATGAAAATAAAGGTAGCAAAAGAAAAACTCTGACTGATATGTTAAGAGACTTACTGGCTTGCTGAGATCAAAACAAAATGTGAATAGTACATTCAAAGCATTTAGCACCTATCCATCTTAATGTGTGTTTTCAAAACTGTAAAATGGACCATAACAGATTTAGAAAGAATGCTAACAAAATCCTTTGCAATACTGATATATTATAGGACCCATTACTCTTAGGCATCTATAGAAAGTTTCAGTTTCTCATCAACAAGGGTGAAAAAGATTGACATTCTTATTACACATGATAATCAGTGGAAAATTACTGAAATATTTTTGAAACAATCAGATATCATTTCACTAAGCAGTAGTAAAGACTGACAAAGGGTACATCCACATGAACTCCTCAAATGATATGTTGGCAGAGAATCATCAAACAAATAATTGAATCATGTGGACTTGATTATGGAAACAGAAGAGTTTATTTTCACAATTTGAGATCAAGTCATTGTTGCCAAAAGCTATGGAAGAGTTATGCTCAAAGGGCCTAGACTTAGTAATCATTGTTGATTTTACCCTCTCCTTTTGTAAAACCACTAAATGTTGTTAAAAATTATCACATATCAAAAAGTAGTAAGACATGACCTCATGGGCCAAATTCTACATTAGAAAATCACTGTCTTTTGTTGCCTGCTAGACTAATGCACATACTACAAACATTATTTCAAAGTATCCTGGAAAACCCATCCATTAAACTCTCCTGGAATGAGAATATTATCTCATACTGAAATGTTGCTCTCAGTTGCTGGCCTAAAGTGGAGAAGTAATCCATTTAATCTTAAGCCTGGCATCTTTACTGAGTGAAAATGAAAAGTATCTGATAGGAAATTTGGCTTAGTCATCTTAGGGGGAGAGAGAATACTCTTAGCACATATTAGTTAAGTATTTATGGTAGGTATTGATTACACATCTATTTTAGATATTGTCGGTACAGAAGAAACATGAGACATGATTACTGCTTTCAGGTATCCTACAATTTACCTGGAGAGATCAGAATTATTACTTTTTATTACTTATATTATCATATTATTATTTTTATTATTAATTACTTACATTATCATATTATTTTTTCTTATTAATTATTAATTAATTATTAGGGAAGGGACATCTTGAGCTTTGCCCCAGGATTGAAAAGTTAGAGGTCATGAAGAGAACCATCCTATTGACACTTCCTCTCCTGTCTGGCTTTAGCAGCATCAGACATATCTTTATCACAAACGTCTTTCCCCCATGGCAGAAACATCCACCATCCTACTCACAATAAGAAACCTGTACTTGAACTTTCACTTGTCTTTTTAACCCCAAATCACATCCTAGGTGAACTTTCCCTTTCCCCCAGCAGACGTAGACTTTTCCTTAGGTATGAAAATTATTAGTTTGGCCTCTAGGAAAGGCAAGAATTATGCATATGACAAAATAATCCAGTTGGAGGACAGCTCAAGATCATAGAAATTGTGCTGTTATGTGCTATAGACAATAACTACTATAAGATTTCAGAGAAAAGAGAAATCACAAAAAGATCTGGTGCATTGAACCAGCATTTCTGTTAACATTTGTTTTCACATCCTCTCTATCCAGTGGCTGTTAGGTATCTTCAATTGACCTATGAGACAAAGGGATCAGTTGTAGAGTATGAATTGGGGGGGTGGGGGTTGTTCTATTTTTAATCATTAAAGTTTGAACTCACATAAATCACATCACTAAGTCAAATGCTACTTGAGCATTTTTGTTACCAAAAAAAAGATTAGAGTTAAACTCTAATATATTATTAATATATTAATAACTATATAATAATAATTAATTAATTAATTGATTGATTGATATTAATATATTATAATAACTCAGAAAGATCAAGTGACTTGCCTAAGGGGAGCAAAATGCTAGTCAGATTGCTTACTTAAGAAATGTCAGCCCCATGCACCTGTAGTGTCTGTGTGCCTAAAAAAGGGATGGAAAGGACTCATGATTACTTTTGTTCTAAGTGAATATTTCTTTAGTCTAACTCATTCTCTCTTCTTTGGAGAACTTAGATAAAATGGTGTCTGTACCTATTATGTTAGCCCCTTCTTCCACCCCTACATAGGCAACCCTCTTATACCTTCTTAAGAGTGCCCTAAAGACAGATTTCCTACAGTGACATTTCAAGTTATTCCATTCACAATATATGAAATAATCAGTGACTAGGGGACAAAGTAAGAAATTGGTCATACATATACATATATGATAATTTTATGTAGACGTACATCATACATATATATAGTATAATGGGTATGCAAACAGCTACACACATGCATGTGTATTTAGAATTATATATTTACATATTATATGCTATATATGCATATATGCATATGTCTGCATATATATGTATTTGAATATACTGAATGGAGATCTAATGCATATAGATTTAAAACTGGGGAAAAAACTTTAGAAGTCTTTGAGGCCAACCTTTTCATTTTATGGATGTGGAATCTGAGGCCCAGAGAAGTTAAATGAATTTCCCAGAATTGCATGGCTATTATGTGCCCCATTAATCCCAGGTCTTCCTGACTCTCTCCAGAAATCTATCCATAGATATATTTTATATGTCCTGCTTTCTTCTCTCTTTTTTAATTTTAGTCAACCCTGAAGAAGTACTACCTCACTTATGCAAACCTGGAGAATTTCGCTGCAGAAACAGACGCTGTATCCAGGATAGATGGAAGTGTGATGGGGACGATGACTGCTTAGATGGCACTGATGAGGATTCAATGACTTGCTGTATGTCCTTCTGGAAGTAATTTTTTTCTGTATTTTCCTAAGTCTTTTGGTGTTTGAATTGTCAGCCTGACTTGCTAAAACATCACAATTCAAGGGGAATTACGTCTAAAGTTAAATTGTAATTCACATATTATAAATCATATATCTTCTTTCCTTATTAATGGAAACGGTATTCCTAGTCAATACATTATCATTTTATAGACAAAAGGAGTATACTGGATGGCTAGGATGGCATGCAAAAAATGGCTTAATGTTAATTTTCAGCCTTATAGTTCTTATATTATCTCTTGATATTCCTCAAATAGCATTTTTCTTCATTTTTCTAACTACAGCTACTGGATCACTCTTTGATAACTGGTGTAGGGTACATCCGGTATCCTCCCATACTAAAATACAATATAATACTTAAATTCTTTCAAGACAAAGTTATTGGTACAGAAGATCACTAACCACTCCATTTGTCCTTGGCAAGTGAATCTTGAAGAGGAATTAAATAAAAAGATGAATTTTGAACAAGACAACATACAGGTTTCCTGCCTCCATGCATTGTTGTAAGGAAGACATATGAGAAAGTTAAACATAAGTGGAAAATGGAATTTTCTTCCCATTGGCTACTGATTTTTCTTTTAGCATCTGCTAGAAAAAATAATTATGACTTTGGTACAGAGACAAGTATTTCTTCTTATATTTTGAGGGGCAAAACATTTTATAAAAGTTTGGTGAGGTGAAGTCATTGCTTTCATAATTCAAATGGGATTGAATTTACTCATATCTTCATTGTAGCTGAATGTTCCTGGGAACAGTCATATATTTTCCTTTTCAAAGCTCAGAGCAGTTAAATAATTTCCTCATAATATAGGCAGCTGGTGGCACAGCAGATATAGTCCTGGGCTTGGTGTCAGGAAAGCCTGTTGTCAGGAAGGCCAGTTCAAAACCAATCCTAGACAATTAGTAGCAATGTGACTGTGGGCATTTGTCTACTTGACCTTTGTCTGTCTTAATTTCCTAATCTGTCAAATGGGAATAATACTAACACCTATCTCCCAGGACTATTGTCAGGATCAAAACAGATAATATTTGTAAAGCACTTTGCAAAACTTAAAACACTACATAAATTCTAGCTATTGTTATTAATACTCTTTCAGGAAACGTGAAGAGTGGGAGTTTTGAACGGATAGGGTAGGTAAGAGTTATGCCAATTTTCAAATAATGTGTGTATGGGAAAAGGAAGATTATAAGAACTGGTAAAACTGAAATACCAGCCAGCTTATCATAAATTCCTTGCAAATGTCTAAAATAAGTTATTGAACAACTGATTTGTGAGACTATCAAAAGGAAAATAGGGATAAATCACCAGGAGTCTACATGAGCTTGCTGAGAAGTGATGCCAAAAGGACTTCATTTCCTTTTTCCATGAAGCCCATATTTTGGAACTTGAAATACTAACTTGAAAATACTGACTGGGTGATCAAGGAAATGTTCTAGAGCTTGGATATCCTGGGTCTAGCAGACAGCATGGAGAAAGGCATGTTATCAGGGAAGTAGAGGGCACGTATGGAGAATTTTGAGAGATCCAGTTTGATGGGATCTATGCAAATATGGCTATGCAAAGTGGAGTAATTTGAGTTTAAATTTAAAAAATAGGGTAGTGACAGAGAGTATCAAATGTCAGGCTAAGGAGCTTGATTTTATTTGACAAGCAGTAAAGACTGTCAAAGGCTTTTGAGCAAAGGGGTGCATGACAAGTTCTGCATATAAGGAAGATAAGCCTCTCCCTCATCTCCCTCTCCCTCATCCCTGAAAGATGAACAGAGGTGAGAGAGGGTGAAAGAAGAAAGAACTAGGTGAAGACTGCTTAACAGTTCCAGTAGGTCATAGTTAAGGACCTGAACTAACACAGTAGCAATAGTAGTAGCAATAGGAACTGAAGGAGATAGAAGAGAATGAAGTTGCATAAAGAGAGAGAATCAACAAAGTTTGGTCACTGGACAGTTCAGGAAAAGGGAGAATTCGAAGATAGCATCAGAGGCACCATGAACTAGGGAAGACATGACACAGGGTAGTGGATAGAGAGCTGAACTAAGTTAGGAAGGTGTGGATTTGAATCCTCCTTCAGACACTTACATGCTGTGTGACCTTAGGCAAGTCACTTGATTTTTCTGAGTCTCAGTTTTCTTATCTTTGAAGTGAAGGAGTTAAACCTGAACACCTTTAAATAACCCATCCAGTTCTTATTCTAGAATCCTCTGATTCCTGTAACACTGAGTATGTGCATTTAACAAAAGACATTATCTTTTTCAATTTATTTGACAATGGGCTCTTAGTAAATATATAATTTGGCTTTTTCTTATGGTAGTCTCTATCAAGATAAGTAAATGGGGGCAAAGATTACCAGCCCACCAAACTGTAGCTGGACAGCATAGCTTGCAAGTGAAATTGCTTCATGAGTAGTAACAGACGAGCTTGTTAAGCTCATTCACTATATTCATTTCATTCCTTTTATTTAAAAAAATATTTTACAAGCCTTTTCCATAGGCATCACAGGTAATCTTGGTTCAAGATGAGGCAGCATGGCATATTTAGAAGAGTATTGGATTGGAACACAGAGGCCCTAAACTCAAGTCCCAGCTCTGCTGCTTGTTACCTGAGTGACCTTGGGCAAATCTCTTGATTTCTCTGGTTCTCGTTTTCCTCATCTGTAAAGTGAGGGAGTTGAATTGAAATGATCTTTTAGTCCCCTTTAAAATCTGTGCTTTTTACATAGTATATTTTCCTTCTATGTTGACTTGAAACTTTACTTTTTTTTCTTATAACTATGGCAGAAAAAGGAAAATATATATTAACATTGAGGATAGGATGGCTAGAAGAGGTTATGTATTTCATGGTTTACATCTTAGCCAACAGCTGAACTATTAGGTATGATGGAGTAACAGTTAAAAGAAATAACACTGGTTCTGGAGTCTGTGGACCTGTATTCAGTTCTACCTTAGACATTCAGTTCCACCTTAGACATGGTCTATCTGTGAACTTGGACAAATTAATTTAATCTCTTTGGGCTTCAGTTCTTCATCTACAGGATGTTGGACTAGGTGACCTCTTAGGTGACTTCTAGTTCTAGATCTAGGATTCTATTTTGAACAGATGGATTTTTTGTCATGTATTTATTAAGTAACATGATGTTGCTGAGTCGTTTTCAGTTGTGTATCCAACTCTTTGTGACCCCAGTTGGGTTTTTTCTTGGCATAGATACCAGAATGATTTGTCATTTCCTTCTCCAGTGCATTTTACAGATCAGGAAACTGAATCAGACAGGGTTAAGTGATTTGTCCTGGTTCACACAGCTAGTAAGTGTCTGAGGCCAAATTTGAACTCAGGAAGATGAGTCTTCCTGACTCCAGGCCTAGGGCTCTATCCACTGTACCACATAGCTGCCCTTAAGTATCATGATAGTTGACCTCCACAAAACCCAGCCCATAGTTTTATAGCAATTAACTTCAGGGATATATCTTCTCAATTGAACATAAACTCTTCCTTTAGTCCTAAACCCTGTTTAATGTCATTGCTTTTAATTGACTGAGGAGTTAGGGTGAGATTTTATTTGTTCATTCATTCATTTGCTCAACTTGGATGTCAAATTATGACATTTATGGGTGTCATCGACAATTTATTATTTTCATGCTCTCATTTACCTTGAGTCCTCATATTTTTACACATAGAGAATAAAGTGAAAATTTGGCAATATTTTAGACATTTTTGATCAGTGTAGACAGCTAATCTAGAATTTAGGTAAAAATATCAATTTGGCAGTCTTTTGGATTAGATTGATCTTATATACCAAGGTAGATATTTACTTCAATTTGCACTATTTAGTCACAAATCATGCCATTCTTGTAACTAATTTAAGATGTTTTGTCACTTTTAAAAACCCAATAATGTCAGTAGCAGCAAAGAAATCTAACAAGGATTTTCTAGTCTTTAGTACAATTATTTTAAAAGTTCTCACAGAATACGAGAATGTTTTCCTAAATAAAGAGGCCAGTGTGATGATGAAAAAAAAATGTGAAGTTTAACATTTTCCCAGTCTAAGAAGTTCGAGGAAAGGAAGTACCTATATACTTCTTACTTGGAGATATAGCTAACATTAAGAAGTATTAATGAATTATGACATTTTTGTGTACAAGATAATTATAGAAAAGAAAACAAGAATTAAGACTTTTATCACTCAGAGGTCTGGCAAACCAGAGTTCCTCACTCCCCATCTAGGCATAAATTTCATTTTCCCCTGTATTGAGTTATAAAGTTTGCATAAACATAAATCTTTTAGGGTTTTTTCCATACTTTCCCTTGAAATATTAATTTGCCAAAGGATCTGAGGAGGTTAGAGTATTAAGTACTAAGCTGCTTGCAATTTAGTTTAAAGTTATGTATTATATGTAAGGTTACTATCCAGGATACTCAGATATCTTGAGGCTATTTAATTTTGTGTGACTTTTTTGTGTGGTGGACCTTCATAAATGTGGATACCTATGATTAACATATCAAAAACTTTCTAAAATTTTTTGGAGGAACTTCCCAGAGGCTTAGAAAAATATCCAGTAAAGAATTGTCAAATAGCTTGGTCAGTTGTATGACAACTTTGCTATAGTTATGGAAATGCAATTAAAAAATGATAATATTCAAAAGATGTTTCTAAATGTATTTGTATACATGTGTACTTACAGACATATCTTTAGAAATGTCAAAGTTCTGCGATCTCATTGATGTGGTTACTACCTGTAGTAGTACAGGTCCATGTACACCTCATAATTCTATATGATTTTTTTAACGGATATGGTTTTAATAATAATATAAACTCATATACATATATGTGTGTATGTATATATATATGTGTGTGTGCATATCACATATGCACACATATATAACTTAAAAGTGTACAAAATGCTCATTTTTAGATATATAACATTTACTGTGGTTAGTAGAGGAGGACCAGGAATAATGTCTGTTAGAAATCCATAACACTTTTATAATTAAGTATGGAATCTTCCTGTTTGAAAAAAAAATTATACAAATTTTCGAGTTGTTTCCCATTTAGCCACTAAATAATTCCAAAACAGCAAAGAACCCTTTCTTGATTTCCATCTCAGGGGCTCTTGAGTTTAAATTTCTGGCAATTCAAAGGATTAGACTTTTTTATGGTGTCTTCACCTGCTGTTTTGTGTCCTCTTTACGCAGCTCTTCATCCAAGTCTGCCAATGACCCTAAGGAATGTCATTCGCCTTTATCCTCATGGTGTGTATTTCACTGTCAGTCATGCAAGTGTTAGGCAAGCTTTTACTACATTATAGAATTGTTTAGAAAGTTTCACCTAATGACCTCTGGATCCCTTATCCTGTTTTCTGTGGTTCCTATGAAATTCATCTGCTTCTTTAATTCTGAACCACAAGATAGGAGCATCATCTCTTAAATTACCATTTACATTGTGGTGGAAAATTTCAAAACCTCTATGTCAGGCTTCACTGAAGTGAATATATGAAATGTTGTCACTTTGAGATTTTGCCCCTATAATGTGTTAGATGACTTTCCTTTTTTCCATAGGATATGATTTTTACTAGGTTCTGTGAAATGAATACAAAATGATAATCATATTCACATACCAGGTTATGAAAGTGTTTCCTCTACCCATTTTTTGCCGTTAGAGAGGAATCAAAACTTTTCTGAAGAGTGATAAAAACCTCTTTATTACCAGAGCCATTCTAAAGATCAAAATAGGATTTTGTAAAAATAAATAAATAAATAAATAAACTGGAAAATGTTCTCTTGCAATACACTAGCATTGTAAAATGAAGCACTATTTTCCAACTTCTAAGTAAGACTAATACCAACATTCATTTTTATCATGCTGAACTGCAACTACAAAGCACATTGCAAATTACTTCAAAAAGAATGTTGAAGTTGTGGAACAAATGCATAAGAGCATGCCAATTCAGGCAGGGATTTAGCTTCTAGTACTTAGACACAATAATCACAGTGGGTTAACACTAAGATGGCACCCTGTGGAGCTTAGATATTGGAGATTTAATCCTTAGCTGTGAAAAGCTTTGCTTATGAAGGTTTGTCTGTGGCCTTCAATATTGTTATGTTTGCTTTTGTGCAAGAACTTAGGATGATCAATTTTGCTATGGCAATTATGCATAATTACATATTTAGTATGTACTTCCTATCTCAAGTGGTGATTTCCCCTAATTCTCTACCATTTCCCTCTATCACCTGAAGAAAATGGAACAAGAAGAGTATGATGGTATTATTTTAACAGCTGAAAAATATATGGATGTTTCTGTGGAGGCCTATTTGCTGAAAACAGTGGTTTTCAAACAGTTGCTCAAATTTAGGATTTTTTAGAGGAACTTTTTTTTTAATTGCTCATGTTCCACTCCCACAACTTTCCACCCCAGGTACTAAAGTGAGTTTATGACTGAGAAACTTCAAATTGTAATGCCAGATATGACAGGCATTAAAAAAAAAAAAGATATAGGGTAGCAGGTGAGGTTATTAATAGTATTAACTGACATTTATGTAGTGTTTTAAAGTTTATAAAGTACTTCACACACATTATCTCATTTGAACCTTACCACCTCTTTAGGCAGGTATCACAGTAATTATTACTATAATTATCAGGATCATCATCATCATTCCTATTTTATGGATGAAGAACCTGAATCTAAGAGAGGTAAATGACTTTCCAATGGCTACACAACCCCAGGAAGTGTCCATGATAGGACCTGAGGACTGGTCTTCTTTGTCTTCAGGGCAATAATCTATGTGTCATGTCATGCTACCTCCGTTAGAAAAAGCTACCTAAATTTCATGTTACATATGGATTTTACTTTCTAGTGTTTGTTGGCTATGTGGATTATTTTAACATTATTATTGGAATTGGGAGATTTCTGTTTACCATAAATTCTGAATTACAGAAAATGATAAACCATGGTGTTTACTTTGTGATGAACTAGTCTCATTAATTGTACCTAAGTTCTGAATGCAATTCAGGATAATCATGTTTTCAGCAGATTCCAGGTGATTATACAGAAAGGAGGAAGTAATCTTTTTGTTGTTGTTGTTTCCCTCCACCGCCTCCAGTTAATCACAGCTGTCCTGATGATCAGTTTAAGTGTCGGAATAATCGCTGCATTCCCAAGAGATGGCTTTGTGATGGAGCTAATGATTGTGGTGGTAATGAAGATGAATCCAATCAAACCTGTGCAGGTAAGCTGTGTGTGTGTGTGTGTGTGTGTGTGTGTGTGTGTGTGTGTGTGTGTGAGAGAGAGAGAGAGAGAGAGAGAGAGAGACAGAGAGACAGACAGAAACAGAGAGAGATAGAGAGAGAGAGAGAGAGAGAGAGAGAGTAGCTTTGATCCTAAGTCAGCTTCCATAAATATGCAGGTCTAAAGCTCCAAACCAAGTCAAACATTCCCAGTGATGAGGATCTAATATGTGTAATTTTTATTACCTCTAAGATTAAAATATATTTTACTTAATTTTTGTGCTTAACTGTTTGCCAAAGTAATTTGGGCCTTTGTTTATCTATCCGTATCTAGCCCGTACAGGGGCTAATTGTTGATGCACTGCTTGAACAAGACTAAATCTTCCTTGGCCATAAGAAGTTGTTTTGTTGCGGTGCTTTGATAGGAACCATTTCACTAGAAAGAGTTTAAATTGAATATGTTTTATTCAATTTGCCCCCTTGAATAGCTTTGTGAGTAATTTTATATTCATGGAACATTATTTATGTGCTTTTTAAAAAATGAAGTCCCCCCCAAAAAAATGAAGTCCCAAAACCACCAGTGTATTTATACTTCCATATAATCTGTCCCATTACAGTGAATCTGAATCCCCAGCTAGTTTCTCATTGAATAGAATCTTACAACTGGAATCATAGGTTACCGTGTTGTGCCATACAGTCATTTATAGATAAATATTGAAAAGTAGTATGGAATAGTACCAGGTCACTGCTTTTCTTTTAATGTTGAGTGAAAAGCAGCCCACTCAGGAGTTTGTTCCATCTATACATGAGCCTTCAATATGTACTTTCCTGTACTTTTAAAGCTACAAAATACTATTTGTAGTTACATGAGAATAATTGTCAGGGTGATAATGAATTCCCTCTCTTTTCCCACCTCTTCCTAGACCATTTCTACTCTTGACTTTAAAATTTATTATATGCATGTATATGTGGTATATAATTTGTCTTAGTTTTTTTTTTCTTTAATAGAGCCATACCTGTATCCTGACACTTGCAATTTCAGCCAAAACTTGAAGACAAAGGGAAAGAGTGAAAATCATCTGTATGAGTTTGGATAAAGCACTTAATTTCTTAATTATCTCATCTTTAAGTTAAGAATGATAGAAACAACATTATTGCATATATGCAGTATGTAATGTATAAGGAGATAAACTACACATATGTAATAGAATGATTCTTTATATCTCTCATGGAGGTCCAAGAATAAATGATCTCTGAAGAACCTTTCCAACTGTAACAGTATGGATAAAAACATAAATTACCTTATTGCACATGTGTAATATGCAATATATGCCTTCATATCACTATATAATGTAGCTTATGTACATATATCAAATTATACAGTTTATACCTCCGTATACATATATGTACATAATGTGTTACATATGGAAAGATTATATTATATCATATGTTATACATATATAAGATGTTATATATGGAGTATTTCCTACTATACATATACCTTAATACCTTAATGTATGTTATATAAGTGGATGCATATATTTATATCATATGCATGTATATAATGTGAGGATATACAAGAGTAGTGTATATCCTCATGCATATTTTATTACATACATGCAGTAATATAGTTTATATCCTCATAAACATTGTATATATATTGTTTTTATCCTCATGTGTAGTGTTATAGTTGGAAAGGTTCTCCAGAGATCAATGTCTAACATTGATATCTAATGTAATATCAAAGAGTCTAACATCCTAATTTCAAGCAAAGTATTATTATTCCTAGCTTACAAATGGGACAATAGAGAAGTGATATGCCTTGTCCAAGTTCATACAGCTGTGAATGGTGATGGAATGAGACCTGGAATTCAGTTCTCTGATCTTCCTCTGGAATTCTCTTTCCCCTACCCCATACTTCCCCTAGCACTCTTTGTTTTGTGATAATGTGTGTTTAACTTTTCTTAGGATTTACTTACAATATACTATCATTCTCCACTGGACCATCTCTTCTATGTTCAGTGCATTTTTTTTCAGTTTAAAAGTCTAATTCAAAGCCAGCACTTTTTAAAATTCTGTGAAGACTAGTCTTTTCCTTATAGCCATGAAACATCCATTTTAAAGCAAATGCTGGGCTGACAATACTAAACGCCATTCATTTCTTCAATTCTATTGGAAAACAAAAATCTACTCTTCTGTGTAAGATTTTTTAAGAGTTATTTTGAATTGGTTAGCTGTTCAAAAAAGCATGAGAACAATGCTCACTTGTAACAGCAAATAGAGAAATCAATTCTATCTAGTGAGCTTTCTAGTACATCACAGCATTGCAATACATCCCTGAAAAGAGTGAAGATTGCTTTCAGTGAGTGTGGGAGTGCTCTTTCTAGACATTGATTTTAATGAATTAGAGCTAAGGTTTGCCACACAACACTGGGTAACCTTGCCAGTGTATTTATGATATCTTTTATAGCAACTGAATACCCTAAAACAATAAAATATGAGTATTTCTTTCATATTAAAAACTATGAAGCATATGGACTATGTACGTATGGATAGATAGACAACTAGATGGATACGTATCTCCTGTGTCTTTTCATAAAAAGAAAAAAAATGGAGTGAAGGAAGAAGAGAAAAACTAGAAATAAAAATAGAAAAAGAGGGCAAAGAGCATAGGTTGGAAGGACCAAGGGTAAGCTAATTAGTTAATTCTCTGTTTTGCCTGGCTTAGAACAGTCCTTTTAAAATCCAATGATCATAGGTTAATGGAATTAAACTTACAAGTTATTCTACAGGGTTTCTATGTCAACCCTCTTATTTTCCCGATAAAGAAACTGAGGCTTAGGGACAATAAATAACTTCTTTACTATCTCCCAGGTAATAAGTTTCATAGATGGAATTTGAATCTAGGATTTCTGTTTCCACAGTTTCTGGGACTCTAACTCCAATTTATGAGTTATTTTATTCTCTTAGATTTACCCTATTCTAAACTCTACTTTGCAAGAAATTCCTTCAGTAATCTGTTTCCATTTCATTGAACTTTAATCATCAGCATTAGGGCATTTTTCGTATTTAACCAAAGGCTTTGACCAGTTAAAATGATTTTTTTTTTTCGCGAGGCAGTTGGGGTAAAGTGACTTGCCCAGAGTTATACAGCTAGGGAGTGTTATGCTTCTGAGGTCATATTTGAACTCAGTTCCTCCTGACTCCAGGGCTGGTGCTGTATCCACTGCACCACCTAGTTGCCCCTAAAACGATTATTTTTTTAAAAAATATTTTTCTTGTTTTTTCCCTTATTATTAATGGAGCTCAGGTCAGTTTCATTTTTTCTTGAGCTTCCCCATGTTTTTATCTACTCCTAATTCAGGGACCAAGAAGGAAGGAAGGAAGGAGAACTGGAGTTTGCAATCCTCCTTTTCCTTAAGATGGATATAAGCCACAAAAGGATTTGTCAGATTTTAAGTGCAATACAGTCTCAGGACGGCCAGTATCTTTTTTACCAGAATTCCTATCGGGCCTGAGAATTTTTACTCTTTCCTTTTGCCCTCATATTTTGGCTGTAATTGCATGTGTCAGGATATAGCTATGCACCTATTTAAGAAAAAAAAATAAGACATTAACAATCTTTTAATAAATATTGATTTTTTTCGTAGAAGCCATAGATTTCTTTCAAATAGTGAGTCTTTCCAGTGCATTTAAAAGAGTATTCAACTTATATTTTATTGAAATGCAAGTCTTTGAAGGTGGTGTTATGTGGAAGTGAAGAGGATACCAAGTTTAGAGCTCTTTTAGAATCCCAGCTCTGCTACTTAAGATACTGGGAAAGTCCAGTAACCTCCATAGACTCATCTGAAAAATCAAGAAGTTGACTTGGATAATCTCTTGATCTAGATAATCTCTAAGATTGATCTCAGGCTCTACATCCTATAATCTATACTATACAAATACAATGATTTGCATAAATATGACATCTAAAGCAGAACTCCCTTTGACTCTTTCTGAATCTAATATAAAATTAAATTGCAACTCTTCAGATCTATAGTTGTATTTTTTCATGTTTTCTTGTGCTTTTTGTGTTTTGTTTTTCTCTCTGATTTAAGGGTCAATTATGTCAGCCATAGAGCTGGTAGAGATATGAGCTTTTGGATATGTATATATAATACTTATAATGATTAACTTCTGTAATTATTGTCAAGTTGGCTAAGTGATGCAGGGGATAGAACACTGGGCTTAGAATCAGGAGGACTTATCTTCATGAGTTCAGTTCTTTCCTCAAACACTTACTAGCAGTATGACCCTGGGCAAGTCACTTAACCCTGTTTGCCTTATTTCCTCATCTGCCAAAAAAAAAAGCTGGAGAAAGAAATGGCAAATCATTCCAGTATCTTTGCCAAGAAAATTTACAAAATGGGGTCACAAAGAGTCAGGCATGACTGAAACAAAGAATTACTTTCTCTGAATTCTGGCACATGTCAACAACCATCATTTATAGTGCTTTTAGTACAGATATGCCTTGGGCCAGGAGACTACCTTTCTCACTGTCTCCTTGTATAATTGAACAGTGTGAGAACTCAAAGGGATATTAGAGAACAACCAATTGAACCATCTCAACTGATAAACACAAAAATTGACTTAGGGAAGGTGAGTGACCAGTTTAATGCCAGGTCTATTAGGAGGAAGCAGATCTCTAGACTCCCCATCTAGTGCTATCTTCACAATCCAGAAATATACAAAGAATCACATATGATTTTGTCAGTTTGGGGAGTTAGTTTCATGGAGGCAAATCCAGCTCTTTTTTTGACTTATTAAAAAGGAAGGAAAGGAGAGGACAGGAGAAGAGAGGATTTTAAGCACCTGCTCTGTGCCAGGCACTGTGCTAAGTGCTTTACAAATATTATCTCATTTTGTCCTTTTCAACAATCCTGTGAGGAAGGTACTATTTATTATCCCCTTTTTGCAGTTGAGGAATCTGAAGGAGAAAGGTTAAATGACAGCTAGAAAGTGGCTGAAGCCAAATTTTTTGACTCAGGTCTTTCCATCTCTAGACCCAATGTTCTATCCACTGTGCCATTTAGCTGTTTATTAGATAAGTAGTTGCCTGCTACACATAGGAATTACGGGAGTGGTACATGGACATACAGTTAATGTTAGAGGAAGGATCAGGACTCAAGTGTTTTTGGTTCCGAGCCTAGTCCTCTATCCATAGCACACCATGCTGCTTCTATTTTCCATCATACATAACATACAAAATTACCGTATTTGGATATTGGGAAAAAAAATCAAGGGCATAAGGAAGGACCAAGGATTTAGGGATGTTTGGGATCACCGTCATAAACACCATCATCATCTTGTTAAATCCCTTTATTTTATAGAGAAGGAAACTAAAGCGAAGTTACTTGCTCAGGGTGACAGAGAGCTGGGCTTCAAAACTTGTGTATCTCTGATTCCACATCTCTTGTTCTTCTCCCTCATTAGATGATGTTTCCTTCCTATAAATGATTCTTCCTCTTTATTCCTCGCCATTTTACTACTTGTGGTTTTCAAATCAACCTAGTGAAAAATTTGTCTTTGTTCATTAAAAGTTGGTGAGAAATTATACTGACTATTTATTCATAAGAGTATGTTAGAAAGACACAGTTCTTGCTAATGAATTCGCGGTTTTATTTGTAGATGCCTACATGGTTACTGAATATGTCATATTTTTAACAATTACATTAATTGAAGAGAAAAGCATTTGCACCTTCTTGAAGACAAACTAGCTTTTGGTTTCAAAAAGGAAATTATGACTGGAAATATTCTGGTGTCAGAGCAGTAGAATTCATCTAGTAAAGATCTTAAGAGAGTTGCAGGAATTTTTTCCCCTGTATATTTTAAAGGGCTTTGTTTTTAACCCATATATATTCCTTCATCTTTGCAGCCAGGACATGTCAGTTGGATCAGTTCTCTTGTGGAAATGGGCGCTGCATTCCCAGGGCTTGGTTATGTGATAGGGAGGATGACTGTGGTGACCAAACAGATGAAATGACATCCTGTGGTAAGTTAATGATAAAATAGGATCATACTAGCAGATTGCATGTCTACTGGAAGATTCCACCATGGCACTTCCTAAAAGTCCAAATAAAATGAACTGCTGTGGAGTGTTGATTTTTTTTTTCTTAAAGTCAAAAATGTAGGAGATGTGTTACTTTGCATTACTGCCTTTAAGGACCAAAATCTATTTTAATGATATGTTAAAACATTACATTCATGAGGCAGGAAACATATTTTCAGTTAAATATATGGAAACCAAACACTGCAAAATTTATTGGGAAAAGCTATTTAGCAGGTTAACAAGATATTTTTATGGTCAATAATATGCTTAGCAATGTGCAGTAAGATTAAACTTTTAAAACTATAAGGAAATGTTGTGGATTCAGAAGACGCAACTATAGGCATTCTGAAGCAATTAAGGGGAAAAAAGCCTTTGAAATGAAAGAATCTGGCACATTACATAGCTATATAATTTAGCAATTCATTCTTTTGGCAACATTATATAGTGTATTTGATTTCTGACTGACACGATTCATTGTTAATTTAACATAATTTGTAAGTTGTCATGATTTTTAAAAAGTCACTTTGCCACAGTCCTTAGTCCTTTGAGGATATGTGGCAGAAACGTATTCTTATACAATGTAACAAATGTAATTGTCATAATGTGTACTCATACACTAATGTGTTTTGTTATCATTTTTCTAACTATTCTCAGCTATAGCAGGGATATGAGGTTTTTTTTGAAAATCTGTGGTCCAGTTCAAGATTCAGTCAAGCCTTTTCCTAGGTACCCTGGGCAAACTTTATTTTTTATATTATATTTCCATATTCTGTCCAAATAACTTTTAAAATGAGCTGAACAAAGGCATTTAACCTTATCCAGGAAACTTTTAGAAGCCATAGATTAGTAGCAGAGATGAATAAAGGATAAAAGAGGTTGTCAGGAGGCAGATAGATGACAGGAACAGACAGAAGAAGGAAGAAAACAGAAGAGAAAGAGATGACGAAAACATGAAGTAAAGAGTCCCTAAAGCTTCCTGGGGGATTAGGGCAAGTGAGAAAGGTCAAGGGTTAATTCAGTTCAGTGGAATCAATGTTCCTCCCTTGCATTGCTCCTCTGCATGTATGCCTTAGCCTGTCTAGCCTGTTGGCATAAAAAAAAAATCAGAGACCCATTGTATTTATATTTGAAAGGGTTCTTAGAAATTGTCTAGTCTAATCCCCTTATATTTACAGATGAGAAACTGAGTCCCAGAAATGGGAGGTGACTTGCTTAAGTTTACAGAGGCAGTAAGAATAATATCTGACATAGTATAAAGTTTGCAAGGCACTTGGTATTATTTTCTCCTTTCATCCTCCTAACAAACTCATAAGGTAGGTTTCAAACTCATTTTGTAGCTAAGTGGGCGCTGAGAAGTTATGTGAATTAACCATGATTACATAGCTAGGAAGTACAGAGGTAGAATTGGAGCCTAGGCCTCCTAACTTCAAATCTAGGCATTTTTTATGATTCCACAAAAGGTCACTGACCTCAGCTCACATTGTATCTTGGCTACTTGCTGCTGAAATGCAATGAAATTCACTCCCCACTTACCTCTGCCTCATACTGTTCTTCCATTTTTAAGATGTAGCTTGAAGCACTATCTGCATAAAGTCTTACTTTCTAGTGTCTTCCCTTCCAAACTATCTTTTATTGATCCACAGCACATTTATTAACTTTATATTTATTGACATATAGGTATATATATACACATAAATTCCTGTGTATACATATATGCACATGTGTAACTATATACACACACATACACACACACACACACACTCACGCACACACGTATATATATAATATTTGTATGTGTGTGTATGGGTTAAAAAAAACCTTTAAAATGCACTAAGATTTTGGGGACATCCAGTATGTATTTAATGTCTCCCCCACATTAGAATTTAAGCTTATGGGAGAAGGGCATGTTTCTTATTTTGTATTTGCATTTTTAGTAGTTAGCCCTGAATATTGCACATGGCAAGCACTTAATAAGTGCTTGTTAATTGGTTAATTGCTTGTATGACTGTAGGCCACAGTACTATTGCTGAAAAATAATAATTAACGCCTAACTCACGGGAATGTTGTATCAACTACTTAAGGGCAGCATTCTGTAAACTATAAAATGCTATAGAAATATCAACTATTATTATAAAGAGATAATTAATGTAAGTACAATTTGTTGTGTTGGCATCCCCAGAGTGGGTTGTTACTATGAGCTTTCAGGGAAGTAGGTACCTTCGAAATTCCCCCATATTCCTTCCTTATGTGAGGCTTATCCTTTCCAAGTTCTTGTTTGTCTTATTTATGTTAAAGCAAGTGACATAAATTATGTTTTATGTTTATATGCTTTCCTATTTGTGGTTTAGTATTTACTGGTCTAGGAGATAGGATTATGGTACATATCTCTTGCTTATGGGAAATCCAAACTAGATATGTGTCTACTTCTCCCCTCACACCTTACTGTACTCTCAAAGATGGTTAATGTTTCCTCTCCCTTTAAAGGAGACAAAGCCTCTTCTCAAATTTCTGGTCTCATAGAGGCATTGATTCCTCAAAAGCAGATGTAGATGGGATTTAGATTTTGCATTTGTCAGCTAGTTGGTCATACCTAAGAATGCAAATGGTTGTAGCCAAGAAGTGAACAATGTAATTAAGCACTGGCTATTTGGGGCTATCAGCTGGAAAGGACAGATATCTTTCTCTTTATCTCTTCTTCCTCTACCAAAACAGAAGGCAGGTAGAGTCAGCAGGGAGCATCCCACAGTTCAACTAGGAATTGGGAGGGGGGGCCCAGCGGCTTTGATCTAATCTGCTTCATAGGTGCCAGGAAGAAGTAGTTCAATACCACCAAACATCAGCCACCTGTCATTGATCTCTGTCCTTCTCATTAGTACAGATTCTCTGTCCTGTAACAAAAGCATGCAAGAGAACCAGTGGGGGGCAGAGTATAAGGTAGGAAGAGGGGCATTCTATGATGTGTATCCCTCTCTAACACTCCAACCCATTCCCATACTTCATTGTCATTCACAAGGTAGAATCTTTTCTGTCTTTTTCTTCCCACAAATGTCAATGCCAAGATTAAAAAAAAAATTGGCATCTGACATTACTATGACATTGCTCACTAGGAAATGACTGGCAGCCAAAGCTTTATGTTATTATTCCTAATTATAATAATATGCCACACTAAGCAAAAAAATCAATGTAAGGAAGAAGAAAGGGGGAGTCAAGTATTGTATGGTTTCTCTCTTTTTTACAGACCAGTCTCGTCATCCAAAAACCAGGTTATAGCATGTACATATATTTGTCCCCTAATGTATAGTCTCCTCTTCCCTTTTCCTTTTCCCAATTCCTAGAATCCCTAACCAGGACATGCCTTAGAATTTATGTACTGAATATATTTTAGAAACCTAAGAGGCAGAATCCCAATTTAGACAGAGTCCCATGAAAACCAAAGTGGGAAAAGTTGAGTGTAAGTTCATGAAACTTTATATGTTGGGTCATTTCCTTTTAGATACTAAACCTGTGTAAATGTTTTACTTTTCAAATAAGCTTAGAGTAATTGCAGAATCACTATGAGAATATTTTCTTCAATTTAATATGCACATACACATATATTTTATTATCCTTTGTCTATTGGTGTGCGTAGATATATATGCACAAACATACATATGCATACACACATACGTATACACATGAATGTATACACACACAAACGGACAAATAATAATAGCCTCCTAACACTTAGATATAACCCAAACACAGCTATAAATAGCAGTTTTAGAGCTAGAATCAAGGAGCATTCTCTTGGCAGGCATCACAAAAGATGTCCTCAAATCAGCCTTGTAATAGATAATGTGAAAATCAGAGATAATTAAGACAAATTCCACTGAGAATTAGTTATTGTCATTGCTCAGAGATATGTATAATTGATTATGTCTCCATATGGTAGTTTTCCATTTTTACTAATTTTTTTTTGTTAAGTAGGTACTTAGATCAGTTTTTTTCCCTATGCTATTGAAAGCATTTGTGTTTAATCACATAATATTTTAAACCAATATTTTTTATTGTCATCCTCTTTAAATTCTGGTGCCCTGACACAAATATCCATTGTCCCTTCCTAATTATAGCTCTGAGTGAAGGTAAACATTCAATTATAGAATTAGAGATCTAGATATTGAAGAGGCCTTATCATCAAGTCCAAGCCTCTCATTTTACTCTTGAGGAATTTGCTGAAGGCACTAAAGAGAGTAAGTGACAGAGTCAGGCCTTGGACCCAGGACCTTTGACTCCATTTGCACCCCTTTATATGTTAAATAGTACTAAGAATATTGTCATGGATGACATTTCCACTTTATTTAATATTTTTTGCTTCTTTCTGTCCTTTGACAATTCAGAGCTTTGATGATAGAGGCTGAAGCAGAAGGTATTACCAAAATCTGGGCCTATCTGTTCTGAATAGAGAGTTTCATTGTTGTCCTTAGTCTTCTCTAGTTAACAGTTATCATGGAGATGTTATCACCACCCCTGGGTGACAAATCCAGAATACCTATTTGGGGAGGGCCATGACAGAGGTAGCACAAACTTTTCCACCAGTGGTGAACTTGACTTTATTCTCATTAGAGGCGAACTTCAAAAGCACAGTAGTAAAGAAAGTGGAGGTATGGTCTAGCCATCATTGGTGGAATTTAGTGTCAGATTCAGGTCAATGAAAAGAAGTTATACCTTTACCACCTATGCCCTGTGAGACAAGAATGCTCTTTTTTTTTTTCAGACAAAGAAAAGGTTTATTAGAACATCCATCATATTGAGAAGACTCTTAAGGAGCCTTAAGTGAGCTATTGGCTGGATTGTAAGAATCTAAGCAGTGGCTAGATTTTAAGAACCTAAGCTAAGAATGCCTCTTTTTAAAAGAAGTTTAAACTACTTAGCCTGGAATTCAGATCCTTCCGTAACGTGGCTCC